GTTAAGGTTGCGGAGGAAAGACTCAGAGAAGATGCTTCCTCGGACAAAGAACTTCTTTGCCCGTAGAGGATATTTTTCATCTGCTGTCTTTTTGCCTCAAAACCACGCAATTTACATATAACGGCACATACTATCAACAAGTTTTTGGTACAGCTATGGGTTCGCCTGTTTCTGCTGTCATTGCTAACATGGTAATGGAAGACGTGGAACAAAGGGCCTTAGCCACTTCACCGGTTAAACCCTTTTTCTGGAAACGATATGTCGATGATGTTATTTCTGCGGTATCCGGAAATGAAGCGGAGCGCCTCTTGTCGCATTTGAATTCAGTAGAGCCGTCGATCCAATTCACCCTTGAACGTGAAAAGGATAGACATTTGCCCTTTCTTGATTTAAATGTGTCTAGAGGGGTTCAGGGTAATTTAGAGACAAGTGTCTATCGTAAACCCACCCACACCGATAAATACCTCGCTTTCGATTCTCACCATCCTATTTGCCATAAAAAGTCTGTAGCCAAAACTTTACTTAGGAGGGCTGATTGTCTACCATCATCACTCGATTCGAAGGCTGAGGAGAGGAAATATGTTTCCAATGTCCTAAAGGCAAATGGCTATACAAAAACTTTTTCTCCGTAACTGCCAAAAACCAGTTACAAATAGTAACGCTCTTGATGAAAGGGAACCAGCGACTGGTTTTGCTGTTATTCCTTACATACAGGGTGTTACTGAACCCATCAAGAGAATTTTGAATAGCCACAACGTTAAAGTTGCTCAAAAACCTTTTCAGACTTTGGGGCATATTTTCGCCAAACCTAAGGATCCTGTCACGAAAGAACAACGAACCGACGCCATTTATTCTATTCCTTGCAATGACTGTGATAACGAATACATCGGACAGACCAAACGCCAGTTTGGTACACGGTTAAAAGAGCACCAAAAAGCGGTTTTTCTTTGCAAAAAGGAAAATTCAGCTTTATCGGAGCATGCTTGCCTAACCAACCATACAATTGGGTGGGATAATTCTAAAATTATCACTACTAATCGGCGTTACCACCAGCGCCTTTGTTTGGAGGCTTGGCACATAAACTCCGCCCACGCTCCTTTAAATCGTGACGATGGCGGTCTGCTTCCTGACGCCTATTTACACCTCGTCAGAAAAAAGGCCGCTAATTAGTGATCATATAAAAGGACCTCTTGTTGCAGCGTTTAGATCACCCCTGATGAAGGCACTAGACAGGAGTGTCGAAACGTTGGGTCTATGAATTGTAACTTCTTCGGTTACATTCATTAAATCTGCAAACCAGTGTAGCTTCAAACTATGTCTAAAGGAAAACACTTTTAACAGCCAGTGAATATATCTTATTAGACGTTTTATTGTTTAGTATCGCTGAGTATTTTTACCTGAGTTGTGCCGTATTTTGAAGAGCCCGTAGGGCGAGTTATGATAAAAACAAAGTCTAGTTGTGTTTAACGATTGCCATGCAACGCCCACTTATTCAAACTTTAACACAGGCGTAAATTGAATTGACCGCCAAGAGGGACAGTTGTGTCTTCAGCGTCTTGAATATACTCAGTAGGTGTCTCTGAAAAATGTTCTTGGGCACCGTAAATCTTTTTCTGCCTTAGATAAGCATAAATATCTTTCTGGTCCTATTTTGTCCAATATTTTTGGTGTTGCCGCCAGTGAGGTGAGCATGGTAAGCGTTTGAAGTTTGTTGTCACAAATTCGCTAGTTAATTCGTGTAATTGAATTGTACTGGTTCTGATTATTTCTAGTTTTCATGTTTGTACTGTATATCAAGTCCAAAATTTTTCGTCCCAGTTTGGCATTTGCTCCCTGTAAATTATTCAGAAAACAAAGGACATGTTCAAGCTGTGTATGGGGTGTCGTTAAGAGTCAATAACAAAGCTCAACTTCATTTTCAACGGCAGGGTGCCATTTTGAAACGTTAGGAGAAAACGAGGGCTTCTTCTTTCACTAAAATGTGTTTTTTTCGGCGTGGTTCGTGAGTACAGGCAAACCACTTCCCGATATTGATAAAAGCATCTCACAGATGCACCCACGCCTTTTACAGTCCTCTGGGTGAAGTCTTTTCCTCTCTTATCTGAGTATAGGTATCTTTTTAGTCCTCTTTTTGTCTATTGTCCTTAGCGCTACGTGAGGTAAACGTTCGAAGTTTCTTGTTCCTCATTAGGAAATTCGGATTATAATTTTTTTTTTGGCCAGCTGGCTCCATATTCTATTTTGCAAAATAAATGCATTGAATAGGAACTTCCTTTCATACAACATAAAAACCTCGGGGTGAAGCTCCAGAGAATTTTTGAGAGCGCTGAAGGTAGGTAGCAGTTGCACTCAGCTAACTACACTTCAAGCAATTTTCATCGTCAGCATCCTTGAAAAATTTCTTGTAGAGTTGCCACGATGGCAAAGTCAGCCTGAATATATCAACACAAAAATCTTAACAAAAGTAAGTTTATGAAGTACTTTTTATTTTCCTCAAAAGGTGACTTTTAACATTTAAAATGTCAAAACTCACGAGCACAATTATCCCATACGTTGTGAGTTTGGTCATCGTGTACTTTTTCCAATTTGTTTCGGTCATAATTAATTAAAAGATCGTTTTTCGTCTACCGATTTTACCTCTTACTTTTCAGATGATCACAAAGTTCGTTGAGTAAAGGTTACGATATGATATTCCATGTTTTAGCTCAAGTTCGAACTATTTTCCAAGTCTGAATTTTTTTCCTTTGTTGGGTACTTTCTTTTACTGAATCGTGAAAAAAAATCGAAGGACGTTTTCGATTTTTAGATACTGTTATTTAGCGGAGCCACTGCTAAGATCTGCTGAAGCTCGACTCTACTTTTTAAAGGTTGCGAAACATTTTAAAACCCGAAAATTACCATGGTGTTTACCATGTGTTTTGATACATTCCATTTTTTGTGTTAAGTTTTCCAAGTTTCAAGTTCGTATTGTTTATTTTGTCTGAATTTTGTTTTCTCTGTGTGACCTTTTGTTTTTTCGTTCATTTGTGGTTCGTTGTCACAGAGAAACCTCTCTGCAGCATGAACAGCTTGTGCTAGATCGATTCTTGACAATGAATAGGCAAAAAGTTGATAAAAGCTCCTCCAATAAATATTTTTTGTCGCTTGCGATCTTTATGAGTCGTCCTCGGTAGGCCAAAAAGCACTAAGTATTTCACGAAACCAATTGTACTCCCTTATCTAAGTGTCGGTATCTTTTTAGTCCTGTTTTTGTATATTGTCCTTAGCGCTACGTGAGGTTAACGTTCGAAGTTTCTTGATGTTCCTCATTAGGAAATTCGGGTTATAAAATGTTTTTAGGCCAGCCGGCTCCACATTCTGTTTCGCATAATGAATGCATTAAATGGGAACTTCCTTTCTTACAACATAAAAACCTCAGCATGAAGCTCCTGAGAAGTTTTAAGAGCGCTCACGGTAGCTAGCAGTTGCACTCAGCTAAATACGCCTCGAGCGATTTTCATCGTCAGCATCCTTAAGAATTTCTCGTATGAGTTGCCACGATGGCAAAGTCAGCATTTAAAATGTCAAAACTCACCAGCACAATTATCCCATACGTTGTGAGTTTGGTCATCGTGTACTTTTTCCAATTTGTTTCGGTCATAATTAATTAAAAGATCGTTTTTCGTCTACCGATTTTACCTCTTACTTTTCAGATGATCACAAAGTTCGTTGAGTAAAGGTTACGATATGATATTCCATGTTTCAGCTCAAGTTCGAACTATTTTCCAAGTCTGAATTTTTTTCCTTTGTTGGGTTCTTCCTTTCACTGAATCGTGAAAAAAAATCGAAGGACGTTTTCGATTTTTAGATACTGTTATTTAGCGGAGTCACTGCTAAGATCTGCTGAAGCTCGACTTTATTTTTTTAAAGGGTTTCGAAACATTTTAAAACGCAAAGAATTACCATAGTGTTCACCCTGTGTTTTGATACATTCCATTTTTTGTGTCAAGTTTCAAGTTTGTATTGTTTATCAAGTCTGAATTTTGTTTTCTTTGTGTGATCTTTTCTTTTTTCGTTCATGTGTGGTTTGTTTTCACAGGGAAACCTCTCTGCATTATGAACAGCTTGTGCTAAATCGATTCTTGGCAATGAATAGGCAGAAAGTTGATAAAAGCTCCTCCAATAAATATTTTTTGTCGCTTGCGATCTTTATGAATCATCCTCTGTGGGCCAAAAAGTACTAAATATTTTACGAAACCAATTATACACAGCACCTGCGGTAATTTCCATATAAAAACACAGTGGGAGTAGTCTCAGATAAACGACGCCGGTGTAATTTTGGGTATAATGCTATACTCAGAGCATTGAACATAATACAGACATAATGACTAAACTTCTCAAAAATCCCCTCAATGTTACAATTCAACAGGAGATAAACTCTGTAGCCTGAGTATTGCCGATAGTGAGCCAACGTGCATTTTTTTACTTGCACTATAAGAATTTGATTCAGTAAAACATTGTGTTCTGAACTTCGATAAGCCTTTTATTCTTGGGAAGTTTTACTTCTTGGTGATAGAAAATAGGTGGGGTGGTGGGGGGGGGGTGCAGGGCTCTTATTGACTATTATTTCGAATTATCAAATCGAGCATAATGAAACACATTGAGCATTATTTTCGGCATAAAGCCTTACTTTTAGGGTAGACGCTCAAAAGCCAAGTCTCAGATTCGAGCATAATTTATCTAAGTGGGAGTGGGAGGTGGAGAGGGCTGCTTGCGCACCCACAAATCTGCTTTTAAGGAGATTAGAGCCCCTCTCACACCCTGCTCCGCCGTCCGTGTTTTTGCCATCAAGAACATCAATATACTTTCCTCGGCAAATTCTGTCATAGGGAATGATAGTCTCCTACCCAGTCCTTCCACGATAGAATCTGGCTACGATATCAAGGGGATGATAAACTGGTTAAAGAATATTCTCTCTTTCATTTTCATACAGAAGCCGCAAATAAGTTGATAGCCACAACATGAGAACCCAAACCGTTGTTGGAGCACTATGTACAGTTGTTTTCTTCCATTTGGTATCCAGGATAACACATGCTAACGCTATCGGTAAGTGCAAGTCGCAAGAATCAGCCTTCAAAAAAGCCCTTCAAGGACACACATATGACACATTCAAAGTCAATAGCCTGCATGTTTGCGTCAAGAGATGTGATAAAGAAGAAAAGTGTCAGAGCATTAACTTTGTTATCGACGAAAGTATCTGTGAACTGAATAAGCAAAGCAAGGAGGCAAGACCAGACAATTATGTTACAGACCCAAGACGGATTTACATGACAGTAAAATTTGGCAAAGGTGGGTGCTTTAAAAGTATCGTGATCTTAAAAAGTTGGTCTTTTGATTGTATGTATATGTGTATGTAAGTTTGTATACGTATGTGTATTTTTTCTTTAGAGAGGGTTATGAATATTGAGATCTCGGAAGTGTAACGGCCAAATTTTTTTCTTTTGTGCGGCAGATACCTGGCCATCCGGAACATACGGACTTCCTCGTTCCAAGACTGGCTGTCCTCAACCCCCTCATGGCTCTGAGTGGGAGACAGGCTGGAGGGTACAAGATACGGAAGACTCTTCCAACAAAAATCGCTTCTCGGATAGTTTTCATTTAGATGCAGTTGTTTTGGACAGTCATGTGAACAGAAGTTTCTGCATAAAACACGTACACAAAGTCGGTACTGGAGCGGAACCATGGCCTCTGGGTAATGATTTTTCAAGCATTTTTTAATTTTTTCAACTTTCTCTCTTTTCGTAGTTGAACAGGACACTTTCACATCAGCACGACCCCTTTTTCGTTATTCCGTTATTTAAAGCTCTTTGAGATTTCCCGATATTCCCGTTGTGCTGGATTAGTGACTAATCTCGGTATTACTCGATTCTTCCTCTCAAGGCTCAGTAATTATTGATAGAATTCACTGGAGTCACGTGAGTTTTAACAATGGATGTAACGACCTTTGCTTTATCTCAAACTTGATCCACTTCCCGGGCATAAACAAGGGCCAAACTTTCAACATGATTTCACCCCAAAAACAACCCTCAATTTCTTTTACTATTTGGCTTCTCCCTAGAATATTTCATACCCCCGCTGTATAAACTTATTAACGCTTGTTCGTTGGTTGCGCAGTATAGGCCACCAACGGAATCTTTCTATCTCTTCCAACTTTTCACCTCTCGAGCCATTTTTGTTTTTTCTTGCACCCGAGCAGTGCTTTCTAAAACTCTTCGCTATAATTTCGCTTTTAAACTGTCTTCGTATAACTTTATAGGATGACGAAGACATAAGTAACAACAACAGTAATGGTGGAACACTTCCTGATGGTATATATGACAATGCTACAAGGATATCGTTTTGTTGTCAGACGGATGGTAACAAGTCCGATCCCATCACCCTCCCCGTGGAAAAACCTTTTTACTTGCTAGCTTACGGTTCGTCTGAGTGTCAGAAAGTAGAGGGGGCCCTGGGTACTGAGGAGTATATACAATACGACAACGAGGACTCAAAAAACTCAGATAAATGGGAAGGGAGTCATCCTTTTATGAAGTATTCATACTTGACCAAGATGAGAATAACTTACTGTTATTACCGTGCAGCATGATTATTTTGCAATATTTAAAATCTTTGCGGATTTCGCAGATTGTCTTTGCAAGTTAGTGTGAGACAACTGCGCACCTACCCCTCCCCTAACCCAATAACAGTCGACTAATAACAAGTTAGGGTTAATATTGGGCCAGGGAAGGGGTGGTGCGCATTTTCTCAGATACTGACGTTGATCCAAATTCATTACCTTGAGCCCAATAAGAATACGTAAGGGAGGGGACAAAAGTTTTGATGATATTTATTAAGCAATTTTTTCTAAGATTCAAGGCGTTTAAGTGAAATTTCTCTTATGAATTGAGTGAGCTGTAAATCGACGAAATTTAATGTTGAAGGACTACAATCACTTTCTTGTTTTTTAAGGCATTTGACAAAAAAGCACATTTTAGCTCGCATGTGAATTTTAGCCATAGGAACATTCCGTAGGAACAAACATGACCTTCAATAGCTTTTTGCACTTCGTCAACAATACTACATGACTATACAGCATGTTCCGGCAGTTGAATGGTGTTAAAAGAATCCAAACTGCTTGTATTCTAATAAATTACGTGTCTCTAATCTAAGAAGTCAGCCAACCGCTTGAACATAAGTTTTTTCCATTGTGGTCACTGCACAAATGCAAAGAATTGAAGAGCTCATCTTTAATAAAAGGCCTGTTACCAGTTGTTTGGATTATATGTATCACTTTACTCGACGAAAGTCTAAAGCGCTTGAAGGGAAATAATTCTACTTGAGGAAAACTAACTATTGCGTCGCACTCGTGTTATAAAATACTGCGTTCGCGATGAAAAGTTAAATCTGAGCGACCACAACCGACTGAATGACCATCACATTTTGAATTATCACCAAAAGTTTATCTCCCTGTGTTGGTTTTGGATCATAAACCGAATTGTTTAGAGGGGATATTATTATGTAATTGAGTATTTTGCGTTTTTTAATTCGCTAGATGCGAAATTTTTCGCTTTTTCACTTGAAACGGCTGTTATTTCAAAGCTAGAAGCCCAAATTTACGCAATGCTATTCGAGGTAAATTTCTTTCATTGTTTGTGGTAACTCCACATGTTATGAGTAATTATTGTAAACATAAGCTTCTAGAAATCTCTAGACTGCTGAGTCATGCTGACTTGCATACCAAAGAACTTTTCAGAACGTTTCATGAAGTCACGCATTTGTTATGTAATACTTCTAAAATATCGTAAAAAAGGCTGTGGTTATTCATCGTGGTGTTGTCGGAGCGACGACTGTTTTGAAAGCTATACCGAGAGAGAGTTACAGCGGAAGATTGCTTATTTCAAGGGCCTTTGGAGACAGCAGTGAGATTGTGTTAGTGGTGAGCTGGGATATAGACTGTGGTGGGCTTAGTTAAGTTTGTTAACGCTAAGTATTGTACTGGAGGCGCTCCTTGTTAAGAACATTACTTGCTGTTCAATAAAGTAATTGAGTTAAGAAGATTGTAGTGTATTTTCTGTCGGTTAGATTATACCGTAACACACGATACTTCACCACACCTGAAAGAAGAACTGCATTTTAAAAGAAATATTATTCTGACTCTGTTCATTTCAAATTTTGCTCTTGATCGGCACGTGTGCAAGTTTGCACTTTGTTTAACGTAAAGATCATGATCACTCGCTTTCATTTTGCCTCAGGATGAATCAATGTTCGCCATAATTATCAGTAGTCCCATGAAATTAGCGCTCGAAGACCTCGCAGTTGTCGTCGCAGTCATAAAAACACAGGTTGGTGGGAATTGGTCTGGGCGTCCTATGATGAAGGAAGATTTAAGAAAACCTTTCGTTTATCAAGGAATACGTTTAACTTAATTTTGAAGAGTCTTCGACCTGATATTGAGAAAGATTGGCAAAGAAAGGCTGGCTTAGGGTTAGGGTTAGGGTGATTACCTATACACCATTGCGGAGCTGTTTGGCCTTGGTGTGACGACCGTTCACAAAATCATAGAGGAAGTATGTGAAGCGATCATAAGAAACCTGTGGAAACCTTCGGTGCAAGCGCATTTTCCAATCACCAAACAGAATATTATGGAGAAAATGGTGGATATGACAGCGTTTTGGCAATTCCCGTTGCTGGGGTGCTGTAGATGGGTGCCACATCCCCATTCAGTGCCCTCCTGGCGGTCTGAAAGCCTGTAAAGAGTATCATAACTTTAAGAACTTTTATTCAATAGTATTAATGGCCATTGTAGATGCACAGGTTCGTTTCATCTGGGCAAGTGTTGGTTTTTAAGGAAATTCACACGATTCCATCATTTTCCAGTCCACTGATTTGTGGCACAACATTACTGAAAAGAACATCATACCATCAATTTCTCAAGTCATTGAAGGTACCGAGGTTTACCCGACGATTTTGGGAGATTCTGCTTTCCCATTCAGAGTGTGGTTGTCATTGGATCAAGGAATACTATTAATATATGACATTACGTTGCATCACTGTATATTTTTCAGACATTATATACAGTACCATGAGATAAACACTGTTATGATGAGAATTGCAATACTGTTATTCAGTTGTTATTTCCCTTGTTAAAGAAATGTATTGATTCTTTCACCATATTATTTTCCTTTGTTTTCCAACTTTTGTAATATAATCTCAAACAAATTAACAAAGGGATATAAAAAATGAACAAAAAGATTCAAAGTAAAACACAACATTTGAATGATTTGTAAACCATAATGTACATTTCAGTAATACACATTATGATATCCTGTTCCTTTCATGTTTTTGAGGGAACAACTTTAAAAGGGTATCTACACTGTCACCAGATGAGATGTATTTAGGCTCATTTATATGAAGGGTAGACTTGAGGACACAGAAGTACTTGTTTTCCATTGCACAAGTTTTTGTTTTGACTACTCATAACCACAAAGTAAACATTAAACAGAGAATTATTGAGGATCATATCTTGACAACCAAAACATACCAAACTACCTATGGTGGTATCTCAGTGCAAAGAAACTACATGGGAACTCAGGTAATATTATTAATACCTCTGCTGCCAAAAATTAAAGTTTGAGATAAAAACAGACTTAATTTGCAAATTCTTTTAAAAAACCAATATTTAAACAAAATGCTACACTTCTTGAACCATTATATCAGTGCAATATTGAGATTTCTGCTAGTGGAAAAAGATTATTTGAGTTATAGGCACTTCAAGACCATGGTGTAGAAGGCTCTTTTCAAAGTAGTTCCAAAATAACTTTAAAATGTTAGAGTTCATGCCAAGACCCTTTCAAAATTGGTACAACTGTGAAATACCAGATTGTCCTTTTCAAGTCATAGTTGACTGAACGTGATGTAGGAGAGACTGCTCATCATTTTTTGGAGCAGATGACATCAATGGTGTGTACCCAAAGGATGGGGTGCTTGGGTGACTGCTGCTAGCTCTGGGATTGGACACAGATTGTTGTGCAAAATTATGGCTTTGATGATGAAAATCATCAGAATAAGAACTGCTATAAGGATGGAAATTACCATGGGGTTGCATGTTTGGATTGCTGTTGGGTGTTAGTAGGCCACACATCAACTGGAAGTACCTCATTTCCTGTTCTCTAGACTGCTTCATATCTTCCCTTAAAATTTGCAAAAGTTCTTTAGTGGGATCATTCTCAATAGTACTTTGAAGAAGTTCAACAGCTTTTGCCAGGTTTCTTTGCCAAGAAACGTTTACCCTTGGATGGGACTTCTCCACTGCTATCCATAAGGCTGGATGAAGTGCTTGCACAGTCATCATCATCACCATCAACTTCTTGATCATTCTTGCTGGTATCTTGCTTGTCTACATTTCCAATATGTACAGAGGGTTCACATGCATTTTCTCGTTGACATGAATCTCTAGTTTTAACAAGTACATAAAGAAGGTCAAACCATTTACCATATCCCCGTTCTTCAACAAACCTTTCAATACCTGAAGCAGTTTTCATTGTCATGCAGATCTGCTTACACGTACTAATGCATGACTTAAATTTATTTCTCATTTGTTGCACTTGGAAAGGAAAATCACTCCCGGTGGTCTTATTGTATTCGACGTTCAGCCGTTTCCGCACCATCTCATAAGCTTCAGTGTTGCTTGCTTTCTTAGTATTGCAAAATATCAGTTTCTTGACCAGCTGGTCATCATTAACAATGATATTTACCATATCAGTGATGTGATCTTCTTTCCAAGTCGCTCTCCGCCCAATTCTTTTTTTCCTTTTCCCACATTCAGAACTCACCATTTCACCTTCCTCGATGAAATCTGACTCTTCTTCTTCTTCTTCGCGAATACATGTTGTAAGATCCCTCTGACCATGGTCTTTGTCATCCACTTCGCTCTGACAATCTTTGACAAGCTTTTCTGTACAAAGAGCACACTTGATACAATACCCAACACGTTTATTTGGTTGCCAGCCGATAGCTTCTTCATTAACTTCAGGAATCGAACATTCCGATCGAACACATACACTTTTACCACACGTTATACAAGAATACTTCGTTTGTCTCTCACAATTACTGCAAGAAAATGACAAACTTTTCCTCCAAAGCGCCATGGCTATGAACTACAACGTAAACTCGCGCCTAAGTGCCTAAGAGGAATTTCTGCGCATGCGGAATACTTGAAAAGCTCGCCACGGGTCGCTGCGGGCTCGCCAAAATAAATTGAAATACATTAAGAAAATGTATGCATTTCATTCGACGCGAAGCTAGCGCGACGTTAAAACTGAAGACGCTTTATCGATATTTTATCCGTCTTACCAAGACGGATAAAACGTCTAGGACGAATTTAATTTACCAGACGAATTTAATTCGTTTTAGACGTCGCGCTATCGTCGAATTTAATTGCTTGTGGGACCTTGAATTAAATTCGTCTGAATTAAATTCGACTGTAGCGCGACGTATAAACTAGGCCATAGAAATGGTAAAGGTTCAGTAAACAATTCGTAACCAAAGATTTTGCGTTTACGAGGAAGTTAGTAACCATGGTTCCTTTCAATTGACCATTTTATATAACTTGTCACAGATTGTTGAACACAAAGGTTATTAAATAAAGGTGAAGCAACTTTCCGACATAAATAGCATCAATTTGGTATAATGTGCCTCGATTAACAGGTACGGGTACCTCTGCAACCACAATTTTTAAGTCGAAGTAAACGCAGTAACCACTTCTTTCAAACACACTCTCTATCTGCAGGTGGTTGATCTAACAACGATTGCTCAAATAATTCACCATTGCTGTGGCACTTTATAAAGCAACGAAATTATGGTACCAACAACAGTGAGCTAATCCCAACGGCAGCATCTACAAAATAAATATGTCCTATCAAAAAAGCTTACCTGCTTGTTGAGATTTGTAGCGGTGTCTATTTTGAAACACTGAATTTTCAAACCCTCTCTTTCGTTCTCTGGCGTTTCTGGTAGATTAAAATATTTTGTACAGTTCGTTGCAAAGTAGGTTAGGGGATTCCATGTTCTTCCAGAGTCATTTGACTTCAAAAGGTACATTGCAGCCGGTAACTCGTGATAAAAAGTAACCACAGACTGATACAGCATGAAAGTTCTTCGAACCCCTAGCTGTAGAACCACAGGAAACTCGTAGTTTTTTGACTTCCAGAAAGTGTTTTTGCTAAAATCGTCCTTCACAAGACTGGCATTATGTGCAAGATTATCGTCGAATGCGTTGCAAACGTTAATGCAATCCAAGTTAACGCAGTATGGCTCTGACGGGTTACCGCAAGTTGAGTTCGCCGTAACATTAAAATACTTTGAAATGTCCGAAGGAGAAGGATAACAAGGTCCAACACTACATGAATCTTGGCCCGAAACAGCTGAAAATATCGCGAATAAACACAACACGACGAGCAGGTTCGAAGTCGCACAATTCGAACGCAGTTGCCATACTGAGCGTCCCCAGACTTGCCGCATTTTCAATATCAACACTGTTATCTTCTCTGCAGCATTTACTATTTTGTAATCCACATTCGATATTTACCAGTTTTCCTTACGTAAGGAGCCTCTACTCCTCAACTGCGACCCGAATTGTGTTAAAAACAATGTGCAATTATGATTACTTCTTTAAACCTCGATAGAATTTGACTTCCACGGTCAATTTGAACGCGAAGTATGATTTTGACAACCCCGTGGTAATAAGAATTTATTTTCGATCCACTCGGGGACGGTAGTTTCAAGCCGTATGTCTGACTAACTTTTAAAACATTGCATTTTTTGGCTTGAAATAAAAGGAGAAAAATTTAACAGCAGTAGTAGCTACAAAAAAAAAAAAGTTACCGGTCTCCGTCACCAAAGAGAAGTAAAATTATAACTGATCAAAAATAATATTCTCTTCATTGTTTAACGGTTGACATAGGGCAACCAACGCGCCTCGCTGCTAGGTAACCAGGACTTAGGTTTAAAAATTAACTTTTCCGTTCAAAAAAATTTGTGGCATTTGATTTCCCTTTTTATCATAATTTTTTTTCGGAAGGAAGAAGAATGCATATCACTTTGTTGAAAGGTAAACTAAAGTAAATTCGGAAAATTCCACTCCACGATTTATAAGCAAAAACCAGATCCACAACCAGAAAAAGCCGGTCATTTAATTATAGTAATTACGTCATTTCGCCAACGTGCCATTCTGAACATGGTTGATTTACAACCGAAAAAGCCCCAAAAAAGTTACAGTTCTATATCAAAGCCCGATAAGGGTAGTGATCTTTTCAAAATCAATTGCATTGTTAAGTTTTCCGATCAGTTTTACTTGTTTCATATATAAAGACTTCAGGAGTAATGGGCTTCTGTAGACTTTGAATAGCTTTTTTCTGCTAAATAGGTCTGTATACTTTAAGTATAGCTAGATGTTTAAAAGCTAGAGGAGGTAAATCTCGCTGCCCGAATTAAGCTATAATGAAGAGTGCAATAAGAGCAAAGCAATAAGAGCAACGCAAAGTATCATTCTTGTCCTATGAAACGTGTGAACAAATTTCAACAAACATTCTCGATGTCAAAATACGAATGAGAGCGCTGTAACAAATTTCTACACCATAGTCAAAACTGTTCGACACTGAAAACCAAAGCAGACGTACCGTAACTGTTTTTTAAGATCATGATTTGACTGATTGACCAATCGAATCTGGGCATTCGTTTAAGCAGCCATGCAACATAACAACACAAAAATAAAGGTGTTAAGTCGTGGAGCTCCTGGCATAAACTAGCTTAAACTGCAGTACCCGTTTTGTTTCATCTTCTGTTTACCCGGGTTTTCTAATCAATCGACTCTCAGACCCGGTTTAAAAACAACATCATAAGGATCTGAATGGGGTGATGGCTTTTTCAGTTAGCGGTTAAAATTCTGGCCATTTTATTGCTATCCATTAACTTCCTTCTTTTATGATCAAAAGAAAAATTTTGGATCATGTATCATAAGAGATCATGTATCTTATGGGGGGCCTCGACCGATACATCGGTCGATACTCGATCGAGTACAGGTCGATATATCGGTCCAGTATCGACCGATGTATCGACCGATAGTCCACTTAATGATACTCATGGTGTCGGTCGACATATCGACCGCGATACTGTCAGTGGTATATCGGTCAACTATCGGTTATATATCGGTCGACTGTCGGTCAAGTATCGGTCGATACTCGATCAATATCTTGTTCGCTTAAACGTCCAGGAGGGAACGTTAGTTAACAAATATCTGAATGCTCATTGGTAGCGTTTTGTCGCCATCCAATGCACCATTCTCGGACTAGTGCCAGTCCCATTTGCTCTTTTAAGTTCTCCATATACTCGGTAGAGTAACGGCTGAGTATCGACCAACATAACAGACCACTCAATAACGATTGTCTTTTTAACCCTTTAGAATTAATTGATGTACATTTCACCAAAAATTCTGAAGTAACTCGTATTTTTGCCGGTACTTTAATGTTTGCTTTTCATAGAAAATAAAACGTTTTCAACAACAACAATAACAGCAAGCGTTAGGCAAAAGCTAAAGAGTTCCTTGATGGTCAAAATAAGGCTACGTAGGTTATAATGAGAAGATATTACAGAGGCGGATCCAGGCGAGGGGTTGAGGGCGTTGCAACCCCCTCTTTGAACAGTATGTTCTTGTTATTTATTTAACTCTTCATAAAAATAATATGATAAAATTGTTTTATACGTAGTTGGTTCACTTCCACCAATCGATTGATTGTCAAGTTACATTGTAGAGGGTAAAATCCGGATAATTTTCGGGGAGCATGGCCCCGTATCCGACAACCCCCTTTCAAGAACTCCTGGATCCTCCCCTTTATTGTATTAAACTGGCATTTAAACCATACATGTTAGCGATGTAATTTTAATAAAACGTAAACCACTGTTTATAAGAACCCCTCCCCCGCTTATAATCCCTCCCCAGTTATAGACCCACCTACATGTAAGCAGAAAAATTCATTCGATTACAACGACCCCCGGATGTAAGCCTCTCTCTAGTTTTCCTTGTTTCCTAAATAATGAGCACTCTCGAAGAACACAGTACTACCCAGTTCAAACAGAAAGATTTTAGAGGAATCAGTTATTATACATGATTGCTGCATCAGTTTTAAAGAAAACACTGCTATCGATGCAGGTCCTGTGTAAAAGATAAATTGTAAAAGGCTAGTAAAAAGTTACATTAAAAGAATTATTCAAACAATTGCAAGTTACACGAAAATTAAGTTATATTACATTAAAGGAATTCTAAAAAATAAATGAACCTTTGTAAAAAAAAAAAAGCGCGCTTGGTGCATTCTAAGTTCTAAAATAAGGTCATTACCATTCCTAGTTTTACTTATGTAAAGGAAGTTCGCGCCCATTGTTTCCGCGCATCCTCACTGAGCACGTAATTCATGTCACAACTTCTCACCACATCATACATCAAGCGCGCGCTAAGAAAGAATTACTAGGGAGCATAGGGCTTGTTACCGCTTGCATTAAGAGGTCCTACAGGCGGCGGTAGACCGCCGGTAACCGGCTTCTATTGAAACCCCTGTTTCCGATATATTTAACTAAATTCTATCGACTTCATTTTTTCTATCGATTTTGTTGATTTTGTCAACTGGCTACCTCAGATTTACGATACACCTGGCCACTGAATAGGCTAACATGTGACGTCCTGTGTTGTGTTGTCCGCGCTTGTTGAATTGCAATTCTCAAACTCATTAATAATTCATCAAGTTTAAACAAAGGAAATTATAACCGTGAAGGAGGTTTGGATACCCGGTCTTAATTAGCATAGATTTTGACTATTTTACTTCTCCATTTACTCCTTAGTTTTTGTTTCGACTGAGAAGATATATCAAACACTCGAGACAGTCTTTCATCGGCTATCCAAACACCTCGAATCTCGTCAAAAATACTCCGCTGCGCGTCGTATTTTCAACTCTCTTCTCGGTTCAAAACAAATGAAAGTAGTGAGTGTTCGCATCTTGTTTTTGCCGCAACGCATCTTTCTGGTAATTTTTCCAGATCTGTTTACTTGCAGTCTGAATTCACGTGTTCCTTAATCTACGTCATACCTCCTTTGTTGCGGAAAAGAACTGAGAGAAGACTTAAACCAAGCCGACATGGAGACAATTAGGAAGAATGAAATTATTTTTAAAATCGTGTTTTAATCATATCGGAATAGTTTTTTCTCGCAGACGTTCTTCGGGTGATAAAATAAAATAAATACAATATCTTAATTGAGCACTCCCCCAGTGAGCGCAAATCATAAGCAAATTTTGTCGCTGCCTTCTTCTGGCAAAACAAACCGAATTGGATTGCCGCGGAATTGCTGGCGAATTTAATCGCTGATATCTGACATGGCAGCCGTGTTTCAGACACTACTTTCCTCTGCTTCAAAGACTGTTTTTTATCCCTATATTCTAGTAAAAAAAACCGGACGAAGCGTGAATCGCGCGTTTAGTTTTAATGTATGGTCAGGGGTGAATCCAGGATTTTTTTTAGGAGGGGGTGCACCACTAAGAAATGGCGAAGCTGATTGGTGACTGGACGTAAACACCAGTTGTATTAGAAAGCCGCAGGTCATGTCAGCGAGGGGTGCGCACCCCCTGCACCCTCCCCCTAGATCTGCCCCTGTACAGATATCCGAACGCTGGGCTTCGACCGGGTTGCCGACTAGGCCTGTTCAAAGGCTACTCTGCTATCGTTTCTCTTTTCTCCTTGCCCTCTTAAATCGGTCTATAAGCTGATGAGTTTTTTGCGGTAGACTTCTCTTTTTCGGTTGTAATGTTCCCCTGTAAATTTAAACAGTGTCACATCATTGCGAAAACTTTCCCGGGAGCGGTCAATACTTCTTTGTCGCAAGACTCGCTAGGGGGTTCTGAGTTGCGTTTCACTGGTTGGCTGCATGGCCGAGCTGACAACCGCTTCAGCGAAGTGCGTAAACTCTGATTTTTTTCCGAGGTAGAAAACTCGAGGTTTATTTTTGCGTGCACGATATGTAGATTTATAGAATTTTAATTAAACTTGGCCAAAATATTCGTCAGATATTAGCGCACCAAAGTTTGCGAGGCTTTTACCGACGTCCCAGCGAGTAACAACAATCAGAAAATCTTATATTACCCAAATTCAAAAGGGATTTTCTAAGCAACGGATAGAAATATCGAAAAAGCCTGAGTGATATAGTTCAGTCTGCTCGGATGTCTGCGATAATGCGAAGGCTGGTAATTCAGTTATGGAAAGTACGGTTAGCTTTGCGCTTTAAGGCTGGTGCATGCCTACCAAAACAAAAATGTTAAAATGTATTGATATTTTCGGATTTTACAGTTTATTAGCTTTACAATGATATATATGTTACCGTGGTTTTCTTTAAAGTAGCGCGCACAGAATATTTTCCCGGAAGGCACCCTTGAGGGTCTCCAGTAATCTTAAAACTATGTGTAGGTTTAACTTAAATAACTATAGAAATGGGCAGATGAAAAATAAGTAGTCTTTAGATTGAATACAGACATATGACTACTTAAAAAACGCTACTAGTCAACCTTTGCATTTTGTGTGCCAACGGGAGTGGCAATATACCACAAGTTTATCATCTTCTATTTTTGTGGTGTTTATGCGCTTTTAA